CCGCTAAATCTAGCGGGGAAATTTTTCCGCTAGGTTTAGCGGGGAATATTTTCCACTAGATTTAGCGGGGAAATTTTTCCGCTAGATTTAGCGGGGAATTTTTCCCGCTAAATTTTTCCGCTAGATTTAGCGGAGAAATTTTTCCGCTATATTTAGCGGGGAAATTTTCCCGCTACATTTAGCGGGGAAATTTTCCCGCTAGATTTAGCGGGGAATTTTTTTAGGCTAATCTAGGGGGGAAAATATTTACGCTAGATTTAGCGGAGAAATTTTAACGCTAGATTTAGCGGGGAAATTTACCCATAATGCACCGCGCGGTTACGCCGACGGCGACGCCGACGCCGCTCAAGTCGGAAACGGGCCCCTAACAGCTGCGCTCTAAAAGACAGGCATACCGCTGGACTACCAACTGTGGTTTAATACTTCCTCCTCTTTCTGAACCTTGACTTTGTGCATTTGTCTTTTTCTTTTAGAGCGCAGCTCTTAGGGGCCCGTTTCCGGCTTGAGCGGCGTCGGCGTCGGCGTCGAAGTCGGCGTTGGCGTCGCCGTCGGCGTAACCGCGCGGTGCATTATGGGTAAATTTCCCCGCTAAATCTAGCAGAAAAATTTCCCCCTAAATCTAGCGGGAAAAATTCCCCGCTAAATGTAGCGGAAAAATTTCCCCGCTGTCTAGCGGAAAAATTTCTCCGCTAAATCTAGCGGAAAAATTTAGCGGGAAAAATTCCCCGCTAAATCTAGCGGAAAAATTTCCCCGCTAAATCTAGCGGAAAATATTCCCCACTAAATCTAGCGGAAAAATTTCCCCGCCAAATCCAGCGGAAAAATTTCCCCGCTAAATCTAGCGAAAAATTTCCCCGCTAGATTTAGCGGAAAAATTTCCCCGCTAAATTTAGCGGAAAAATTTTACCCGCTAAATCTAGCGAAAAATATTACCCACTAAATCCAGCGGAAAAATTTCCCCGCTAAATCTAGCGAAACAATTTCTCCGCTAAATCTAGCGGAAAAACTTCTCCGCTAAATTTAGCGGAAAATTTCTCCGCTAAATCTAGCGGGAAAAATGCCCCACTAAATCTAGCGGAAAAATTAACCCACTAAATCTAGCGGAAAAATTTCCCCGCTAAATCTAGCAGAAAAAATTCCGCGCTAAATCTAGCAGAAAATTTCCCCGCTAGATTTAGCGGAAAAAAGTCCCCGCTGTCTAGCGGAAAAATCTTCCCGTTAAACCTAGCGGAAAAATTTCCCCGCTAAATCTAGCGGAAAAATTTTTCTGGGGGGTCACGTGACCCCCCAAGGTCACATGACCCCCCTCCCCCCCCCCTCCCCGCCCCGAGAACAGGTAACCCTCAGTACCCTTCCCTCCTCCTCCTCAAGAGCTGCGCTCCAATTCAGTGTTACAGGGAGTTGTAAACGGCTTTCGCTTTTTTTTTTAACCCACATAAAACACCGCTTATATCCGACAAACCTGTCTGAATTTGGAAGCAAAGATGCGGAGAGGGCCATTTTAGCCCAGTGCACGTACACTGCTGGCACTGCTCTGGAACCTCGCTGTTTCTAACGGTATTTTTGGCTTGCTTGACAATATTAGTGCTAAAAGCGTCAATGCAATGATTGCAATCAAGGTGCTCTGGGCGTTTGAACCGGGAGGCTGAGTCACAGGCGGCCTTCGCTGCCGCTGACGCTGAACCAGCCCAACATCGTTGCCCCAAAACGACGTGTCTTAAAGGGATACTGAAGCGAAACTTGAAATACACCTATTATGGTCAGAAATAGGTTCAATATGATCAATGATATTCATAAATCATAATGGCGCGTTTGTATTTTGAACGGATGGCTATATTTTTCACCCTAATGGGCCCGATTGGGCGCGCGCTCAAAAATCGGCCATCGGAGAGCGCGATGCGTCTTGGGATATTGGGCGCATTCGTGACGTCACTTGTGCCAGACGGGAAAAGCTACGGCGTGAATGTTGTGGTTACGAGCGTTGCCACTTGGTGGCGCGTCGACGATTTACGACCTGTGACAACGTGGCCGTTTGAGATGTGCAAGGGCTGCACGCACGCTGCACCACGGCAAGTCGGCAACCACGGCAGCACTGATAAAACCAGCTCTGAGGCCGGATTCTCAAAGCGAACTCACGACGGAAAAAGTGCGTACGACAAATTTGAGAGAAAACCCGTACTCTCGAAACGAAATTGTCGTAACCTTTGCGCAAGTTACGACAGAATCCTACGACAGCTCCGAAGCTGTCTTACGCACTTTTTACGATCAAATCAACAAGGCCGACAGCGTCGCTCAGTTACTTGGTATCGGCCACCAACGGACATTTATTTTTCTACGTGCTCTTCTCGTGCGTCCCGACTTCAACCAGCAAGAAAAAAGGAAGGAGTATTTAAAGCAGACCACGACGATCAAGAACGCAGGATCCACAAACACACGAGAAGAGCTACAACGGCCACGATTCTGCCGACCGAGCGAGCTCGGCAGAATATAGTAGGCCTAGCAGCAACATCGACTCGGCGCACCGTTGCTCCGGCGGTCCTTGGCCAAGACCGTCTGTCCATGCCCGCGCGACCCTTGTGGACCCTTACCGGATGAGTAGTTTGATCCCTGAACTAAATTTCAGAGGTCAATATTTTCCCCTTGTCATCTCGATCTCCTTGTTTTCCGAGACAACGGTGACGAACGCTGTCGTCGAAAAGGGACTTTCATTGATTCTATCTCCTTGTTTTGTGTGATATAGAGCTTAAATAAACGCCATACGGATTACCTTCGCAACTCGGTATGTACACTCTGTTATTAGTATGCCATTTTTATTCTGACTCGACGCTACGTCACTGTCGAGCTATAGCAGTTCGTGGGAGCTACGCGATGTCGGTCTAACCTTTCTTTGCCGAGTGTCATGTCAGTATCGAGTTGCAATCGTAAAAGATCGGTCCAGAAACGCTTACCGAAACGCGGTCTAACAGAGCGAATCCAGCACTTCGATCAAACGCGCGTGTCCGCTCCGAGTGTGAACAGGTATTTGCGTGGCTCTTGCTGACACCCTCGTAGTTCAAACATATCCTTTTTAACGTCGGCTCGCAGCTCATGCTCGGGTCGTGCCGTGCAAAGGGCCACAACGAGAACGAGCTCACTGTGGCCAACTACGCTTTGGCTTTCTCCGCCAAGGCTTTGCAAACGCGTTCAGGCCTAGGCAAATTCTGCCGGCACGCCGTATTGCCGCAGAACGGCGCTGCTATTTTGGCACAAGTGATGTCACGAGAACTTCCCCCCATCCACCAGATGAGAATTTGAAATCGTTTAATTATGTTTAAAATTAGTTCTCCTGTGTTTTACAGCGCAATATTTATATTTCCGAGGTGGTGCCTGTCCCTAGCCCATATTTATGCAACAAGATCGGCGCTAAAATTTCGATTCACTACCCCTTTAAAAACGAAACCGAAAGAAGATGTGACAAGAGGACGGAACTTTCCTCCCGTCTGCCAGGATAAGCAGAAAAACGCCTGGCTCCTCTTTTCTCCCTCTGCTCACTTGGGGGCTCGTCAGAAAAGAGAAAAGGCCGTCGTTACTATCTTTTTCTTCATTTTTTTTTCTTAGAGTGTAAGTTCTCAATCACATCGACGTGAACCACCGGTGTAATCATGTTTGATAGTCAATAGTAATAACATTAGAAATTTTTAGAATAGAGGGCAAAAGCCTCGCGTAAGCATAAACGTAGTGCCATCACCAGTGCCGACCACGCTGCTTCTTTGCACAAGCAGAAATGTTATGTACGTTATTCTAAAAACTTCAAATTAGAAGTTTATTTATATTGAGAAACAATGTCTGGTTACATGTCAGTTGTCCTAAATAATGTTCATTACATTACTTATATCTTATTCTAAAAAAAAACTCTCAAGCATGGCACACACTGAAGCCACGCTTAGTATGGTGCCTGGATCGCGTCTCCGACTGGTGTGTTTAGCGTCCTATGCCGCCCATAAATCAAAAGTGGTCCCGGAGCGGCAACAAATGACGTCACAGACGCCGGAGTGACATGCTGTTGCCTGTCGCGATCCTGGCGGTTGGCCGTAGAAATGCTGGCGAAAAGCACCAGCGAACACGAGTGTCGCTGTCGTCACTTCGCCCCAGGCGTCCCAACTTCCTGCTGCTGTACCTTCCGTGGACTGTCAGAGTGAAGAGCGACATTCAGCAGAACGGGCGTCTGTCACATCCACCACAGGTGCTGGGACACCGCCAGAGTCGCAACCGGCGACAGCATGACACTTTTATGACGTCATCAGGAGGAATTCGAGGGACCACCTTTTGAAACGCTGTAAACACACCAGTTGGAGACGCGTTCCAGGCACCGTACGCTTAGTGTATCGGCATTCGATTTGGAGATCTGCCAGTGGGTGCCGCCATCTGGGTGCCTAGCTCAGAATTGTTAGAATTTGAAAATTCGACGTCCAGAGCTTCAGACACTGTCTCAGAAAGCTCGGGTAACGTTGTTTTGCTCTGTCGCGTGCAATTTTAACATTTCCGGACAACAAAAAAAAATAAAAATAAAAGGCATTTCCTGTGATTTCACTTAAAGCGTCCAGGCAACAATGATTTCAAGCGCACCAAGACCCTTAAGTGCTGCTTATTCAGTGAAATGGCGCTTTGAGCGAAGTCGTCTGCGAACTTTCAGATATGTGAGCAATATCGAAAAAACAAATGTTTCCTACATTTTTTTTTCCGTACGAGGTACAGCTCCTCAGAAGCCCCCCCCCCCCCCCCCCCCCTTTCCTTTTTTTTTTTCTTTCAGCCTACATAGGGTTTTTCGCTGCATGGTGCGAACATTCAGAATATGCTTCAAGTATACCATTTTTCGCTAAGGGTAGCACAGGTCGTTTTCCTTGTCATAAACAGATGTTCCCGGACAAGTATAGAGATAGGTTCGACCATGGGAGCACATTGCAAACTTGTGCGGGTCTTCAGGGCAGGCGTAATTTCCTTCGTTCTTATTTTTGCAAAATTCAAAATCTCGACAAAATAAATTCTGGTGTTTTTTGGAAGGTGTCGTAGCAGTTGTCGGACTTCGTGTAGATGTAGGCGTTGGACATGGCGTGGTAGTAGTTGTCTGACCTCGTGTAGATGTAGGCGTTGGACATGGTGTGGTAGTAGTTGTCGGACCTCGTGTAGATGTAGGCGTTGGACATGGTGTGGTAGTAGTTGTCTGACCTCGTGTAGATGTAGGCGTTGGACATGGTGTGGTAGTAGTTGTCGAACCTCGTGTAGATGTAGGCGTTGGACATGGTGTGGTAGTAGTTGTCGAACCTCGTGTAGATGTAGGCGTTGGACATGGTGTGGTAGTAGTTGTCGGACCTCGTGTAGATGTAGGCGTTGGACATGGTGTGGTAGTAGTTGTCGGACCTCGTGTAGATGTAGGCGTTGGACATGGTGTGGTAGTAGTTGTCGGACCTCGTGTAGAGGTAGGCGTTGGACATGGTGTGGTAGTAGTTATCGTAGAGGTTGAACATGGTGGGCATGATGTCGTATTAGTCACCGTCGGACCTGGTGTAGATGTAGGCGTTGAATATGGTGGACACATTGTCGTAGTAGTTGTCGTCGGACCTCGAGTAGATGTAGGCGTTGAACATGGTGTAAAAGCAGTTGACGCCGAGTCTGGTATCGTGGTGGTTGCCCAATCGGGAGTAGTTGTCGTTGGACTTGTGTACCTGTCGTTGGGCGGTGGGCAATTCGAAGAGCGACAGTTGCATTCACATTTGCACACGCAGCTTGAGTACCCTGAATTAACCATGGACCCGAAGAGTGTCCCGTTGTCCAGCTTCTTCGAGGAAAAGGCAACTGGTTCAGGAATGGTATACGACAGAAGCCGATTATCAAAAACTTCTTCGTGTGAACTTGACTCGTTGTGGCAACCTTCAGTGGGACATACCCAGGACTGTCCACTTGGGCGTGACTCCATCCGGCATCCGCGAATGGGGCATCTCATGTAGTGTTTGTCACCTGGATCAGCGCCATGCGTAGTACCGTCGCTGCGGTCGCCGTCTGCATCTAGAGATGAAAAAAAAAACTTTCAATTGATAAAGATTCATTTTAGAAACAATGGCGACCGTTGTGCGAATACTATCACCAGTTTTTGTTAATTGAAATTCGCAATTACAAGGTGATAACCGTCACGAACACGCGGTATGCGTCATTAGCACATTGCTCTTTTCAGTATCATTTGGGGCATGTCTTCCGGCTCTCCTTCTGCGTCCGGTTTCGCAATGGGGCACCAAAAAAAACGAGAGAAATGATTTATAAATTACTCAACGTCGGTTTCCCTTTTGCAAATTGTATAAATTGCCTTGAAGACTATAGTTTTAGCATCACCGATAACACCGTTAATGAAAAAATTAATTAGCAGACTTCAGCTGAATAACCAACTCGTCATGACGGTCCGCCGAGGCAAATTCACGTAATACTCGCCTTTTTTTTTTACAAACAATTATCTAAAATAGAAACAAACGCGGCGTATGTATTGTGGGATAGCAGCTACGATGTTGTTAAACGTTCGCCATTGTGTAAGGAAAGTGAAACTCGGACCAGGAAACTGGGAAATCCACAAAACGGACGAGTCGAAAAGAAACAAACTGCTTCTGTAAATTACGTACGCGTTCAGAGCAGAGTTGTACGTAATCCGTTAAAAGTAACGAAATTACCTGTAATTCCTCACACTTATCAGTAATTTCGTAACGGAATAATTACAAATTTGTTAGTGTAATTATAAAGCAATTTCCGCACATATTTCCATAACGGCTTCCTCGTTGAATCGTTACATTTTATTTATTCCCCACCCCACTCCCTTTTTCTGGAACAAAAAGTGTTCGTTTCAGTAAAGTCGACCGCAGTCACCCTGTACGTCACGCGTATAGCGCAAAAAGGGGCTTGACACTCTTCAGTTCCGCAAAGCTTTACTTTACAACGCCATGCCCCTGAATCTTTTTTTTTTCTGCAGACCCTAAGAAGAAATTCAAGAAATCTAAAAATTCCCCAAAAAAAACAAATTCGGGAAAGTTATGTTTGCTGGTTTTTTTTTTTTTTTTTTTTTTTTTAGTCTCTATTGTTACAACAGGAGAGAACCCTCCGACTACCCTAAAATCCACTAAAAGCGATGTGATAATAGGGAGCGTGCGACACCTACAGGTGGCGCGCCGATCAAATTGATGTGCGCGCCAAATGACTACCTGTTGGGAGCCGCACCGCGGCGCCACTGTCTAGTCACACGCTTCCCATTATCCCTCCTCAGCCAATCAGATTCCGGCGTTACTCGTTAGGAAAGCCGAAGAATGAATCGGGCAGCGCATGAACATAATAGGCCCTGCTGTTCTTACTTTGTCAGTGACAACGGCAGGGCTTATTATGTGCATGCTCCGCCTGATTCCTTCTAAGGTCGTCATAATGGGACGCCGCAGTCTCATTGACTCTGGAGTGATCATGGGAAGTGTGCGACCAGAGCCGTATATGCAAAACGTTTGCTCATTAATTGGTAAGAATAGGGCGACAATGAGGGCACGTCATTGACCGGAATTGTTTCAATGAACTTGGGCGCGTTATTTGACAGCTCTCTTGACCAACCACTAGTCAAGTATATTCCCCTTCCGGAGGCAATGAGCTTAGCGTACATCCTCCAGTCACGATTTGTAGGTAAGGGTGTATTCGAGTATTTAACTTCAGCACACTAGAGTTTAAATTTGCGACTTTTCATCACTGAAACTGCGACGCAGTTGACGTTGTTGTCACGGCGACATTCAGAGAATGCAGCCGTTGCCACGACGGAGTAAACGGTAAAAACCGCGGACTCGCCTCCCGTAGGGGCTTTGGCCCGAACTCCGAACGCGCACCCCATGTTTACGGTTTCCCCTCACGTTTCAGGAATCTTTTCTTGTCAATGTAACCTTTTCTGTCTCCGTAAACATAATCAGCACCTTGAAACTTTCCATTTCTATCAAACTCTTACAATTATGCATTGTTGTACTTTCAGTCTTGCCCAGAAACAAAACAAAAAAAAAATTCCGCCGTGGTACGCGCCTTTTTCAAGGTTAAGCGCGACCAAAAGCGTCGCTGCCGTTAGATTTCCGCGATTGGCCTAACCACGGGCAAAGGAACATAACTGTCAACTTCGACGGTGTTAGTTTCGGAACACGATAGCTCCTAGCTTCCAGTGTGCTTTTTAAACACACCATCGAACCTGTCGTCACAACTGATGGTCAGTATATTCAGGGTAACGATTCGTGTCGTCACGGCGAGGCAAATTCTGGTTGTGGCGTCACGGACGGAAACCATAAGAGCAGAGGGCGCCATCGAAACATCTGGGCGTTAATAAAGTCTTGGGTAGTATGGTGATACTTGTACCGCCATACTGTAACTCGTTTGTGTTTTACTTTTATCTGTAACTTGATACAATTTTCCGAAGTAACTGTAACGATAACTTAAATACTCTTTTTGAAAAAGTAACTAAAAGTATCTGCAAAGAAACATTCACTTTTTGCGAAACAAACGACCCCTTTTTGGGAGCACTACACCGGGTTCGACTTTGTGCGGAGGTCTGCCGATGTCTTATTACAAAATATTAACCCACCTTGGGCTAAAGCCCCTTGGGCCACCCGTACACGCCACCTGGGGGTGCCCCGTCGGCGGCCCAATTTCGCTACAGCCTCGCTGTCACCTGCACCTCGCTTGCTAGCATAGAGATCATACATACTAACTCTAGAGAAAAAGGTCCGCCATTTTTCCATGCATTCTGGCTGCCGCAAGCGGCGGAGCTCGTAGACAGACCTTCGGGGTCCCACACATGGTTACCAATCTGCCTACGATTTCACGAATATAATTATATCATTAGAGCAATGTCATGAACTTCAACAATCCATGAACTTACCGGTGGAAAGATATTCCCGTTCCTTTCGAAGCTTTCTTTTTGCATAGCGCACACATGTACGGCCTCCCGTCAAAACTAAACTAAACCAGATAACCGACTTCGCGGGTGGCCGCGCCGGCCGCGCCCCAGGAATACGAACCGCGCAACCACCAGATTTCCGAGATTTCAACACAAGGAAAGTTAATGCAGCGTAATGAGTACACTGCTTTTTATAAGCGTTAGAATAGCTCAGAATTCAATTCACAACGTTAAATTATCACTGTTGATATTGCTGAGAGTTTTCAGTCTTCGCGATTACTATTGCGACTGTCGTCCTTCAGCTGGCAACATTGGTTTCTTTCTCTCGTGTTCGGTCGCTCTCTTCCGCGATCTTTCACTCGGGACCCAGGATGTCGGCGCACGGGATTTGCCACTCCTCCTCACCCACCTTTACCCCCCTGCTTGCTAGGTGTTACGTTACGTCATCTACCCATCTACCGCAAAACAAAATAATAATACGGAACTACAAGACCACGGAGTTCTATTTATGGTGTGCAACTGAATAATGAATAACGAGAGCGGTGACAAAAGTGTGCTTCATGAATCAAACTCTGCAACTTAACTATTAAAAAAAAAACGATTACATTGCTGTTTGAATTGTATTCTAAATCATTTCGTAAATTTTCAAACCTCCTGTTTAATGTAAAGGGAGCATGTTCTTGACCGACAGCTCGAGCATGTAGGCTGAGATGACTCTCGAAAAACCACTGTTATCAAACCTCGCGCTTTTTGGCCACGACGGATTGGGCTTCACGCCTCCTGACATGGGTCTATCAAATGTCGTTCACTCAAAACCACTCCTTGTACTCAGCAAATCACCCCACGTCACGCTTTGCGGACGTCTTTGAAAATCTCAGTCTTAAATGTGCGTTACCAGTGTTAGGGCATTCCAGAGATTTGGGACAGATCGACTGTCTAAACTTTCGTTATCCAACAAAAACAAAACAAACAAAAAATTATAAGATGCCTCCGTACCCACTTAAACCATCTGTTTTTTTAGTATTCCGCTTGCAAACTTTACAGCAATTATTTATTAACTGCTAGAGACAGGGAGGGTTTCCGGTGCTCAGTGTCTCTCTAGAAAAGAGAGTTTCCTTTCGTCGCGTTTTGACATCGAAATCTTAAACTCTATTTAAGCATCATTACTACGTGCAATTGTGACACACGGATTTGATCCAGGCGTATTTTAAAATGTTCTACGTGAAAAAAATCAAAAAAAAAAATCAACACTATACTCTGTTCACCCCTAAGCTACTGCAGTGGAAGCTACGTCCTCGTTGGACCAGTCATACGCCTCTCCTTCACCACGTCACCACGCTCCCGGCCATACCCATACGCGGAGAGCCGGATGACTTGAAAAGAGGAAGGCGGCTGATTTATGCGGCGGGCCATAGCATCCTATATACTGATTATAAGACTGGTAGATCACCACGAGAAGCGTGCCGCCTAAATGGAAAAGTTGAAGCGGCAGACAACGGATGAGAAGACAGCCACGTGACTGGCGCCTCGCTGCGGCGAGACGCGGAAACACGCTTTTCCCAAGCGAACAAGTGTGTTTCGGGTCCT